AAGAAAAATAAATAACAATCTCTAGCTTAACCTGAAGTAGATTTATTCTCAGCTACTGCAGCACACTCCATTAAAGGGGATAACTGTGCAAGAAAAATTAAAGATGACATTGATTATCAGTTCTCAACATGCAGTTAGAGAGAGTTCCTTATTTGAATTAGTGTGCACTTCAGACTCCTGCAAATGTCTTGCTGGAGTGAGAGGAAGGGGGAAAAAAAAGGCATTTTGATCAAAAAGAGGGCAGGGAAGATCAGCCTCCACCGACAGCTGCACGTGTGCTGATTAAAATTTCTTTAGGCATGCAGTTAGACTCAGCCTGGGCTTGATGGCAGTTCAAATGCAGGGCCTGAAAGAAACCCCTGGCAACGGGCAGTTTCAAGTGGTGGAAAGTGGCCATCAGCCTTTTTCCACGTATTTGGGAAAGCGAAGGGCAGTGAGTCAGTGGTGGATACCCAGGTGCTGAGTCAGCACCCCCGGGCTGCTCTGGCTGTTGTGGTTGTTTCGTTGCCTAGGCAAAACCCTAACCAGGACCAAAGCCAAACAGCTGCGTGCTTGCTCTGCTCCAGTGGGCAGTCTTCTTCTCTGCATGCAGGAAGACTACCCCAGACCTTCCTCTGGACACCCAGAGTGAGCGTCTTATTGGGTCACAAGTACAACTTTGCTACCTGCATGCTTAACTTTGGTTTCAAGTGTTGGAGAGAGTTGTATGCAGTTAGCAACAGCAGACAGACAGAACCTAGCTTGAAAAGTTGCTCACGCTGCACCCTGCAAGCTGCCTCTCTGCCACACGGCTGCATCTGCCCTGCTGATGGCAGGAAAACTGTTTATTCTGCTGATGAGCTAAGCAGATCAGCCTGGGGAGAGACACAGATCTCACAGTCTGGAGAAGAGAAGGCTCCGAGGTGACCTTATTGTGGCCTTCCAGTATCTTAGGGGGGCCTACAAGAAAGCTGGGGAGGGACTTTTTAGGCTATCGGGTAATGAGAGGACTAGGGGGAATGGGGCAAAGCTGGAAGTGGGCAGATTCAGGCTGGACATGGGGAAGAAGTTCTTCACCATGAGAGTGGTGAGACCCTGGAATGGGTTGCCCAGGGAGGGGGTTGAGGCCCCATCCCTGGGGGTCTTTAAGGCCAGGCTGGATGAGGCTCTGGGCAGCCTGATCTAGTGGGAGGTGTCCCTGCTCATGGCAGAGGGGTTGGAACTGGGTGACCCTTGTGGTCCCTTCCAACCCTGACAGATTCTGATCTGTTTTAGCAGAGGACTTAGTAGTGTTGGCTTAATGGTTGGACTTGATGATCTTAAAGGTCTCTTCCAACCTGAAGGATTCTATGATTCTATGATCTCCCAGCACAGCTCTTACTGACAGTCACAGGAGTTGTATGTGTGGCCCAAAACCATCCTACGGCTCAGAGAGTCCTTTGAACCAGCTGAAGGCTTTTTCACTGACTTTCAGGATTGGTCTAGTTCCTTGGAGAAGAGTTTTCCCTCTGACAAATGGCCATTATTTCACTAGTTGTTCTGCGTTTAGCTCAATTTTTTTAAAATGTGTGCCCATCAGTCACGTGGCTGTTTGGCATCACAGCCTAGAATAACAAATGCACCAGTGTAAAGGGCATGCAGATGTATTTTACCTTCTGATCCTTTTCTTCTTCCCTTTTTTATGTCTCTTTAATCATCAAATGTGCTTCAGTCGGGCCCGTAGGAGGGCTTTCACTGCACCCCCTTATTTGACAGTGAAATGGTCCAGAGAGCCCATATCTGTGCCTTTCCACAGAGGAGCTGGCTCACAGATTAGCACGTGGGGGTCAACAGGATGCTCTTTGCCCCTTTCCCCTAAAAGGGAAACTGGAAGCAGCAGCAGCTGCTGAGTGCTGCTAGTTTAAATATTTATTCCAGAAGGACTTTATCACACCCTTTTTCTTTGTGCAAAGCTCCCACTGATTTCAGTGGAGGTCAAACTCTGAATCCATGCAGCAGCTAACAGGTCAGGTCTTCCAAGGAATAATGGTATGAGTGGAGCTCACAGGCAGGCCCTGTACCCGTGTTACCGTGTCAAGAAGGGTAAACAAGCAGTTTTTAAAAAAAGGAATTATGTAGACAAACCTGTCAGCACAAGCATGGAACGTCCGCGCGTATGCTTGACACCTGCCAGCCTGACAAGATCCAGGCACATACTCCAGATACTTCAGAAAGAATAGAGTGCTGCTGGTGCTTCAGTCTGTGTCCTCCCCGGGACACCAAGCTTTGCAGATTGATGTTTTTTGTCAGGACTCAAGAATAGAAGGAGAGGGGAAGAAACAGCTCAGGTTGGGAGGGGGTGGGGTGGGTATCTCAGCGTCCTGAGCTTGCTTATTCCTCTGGTTTATAAGATAGCACAAAAGCAGATGTTCATGAGTTAATGTTTTTCTCTCTTGCAAAGAGTGCTTTCTTATGTTTGTTAGTGTTACAGGCCCACTCTTTCTTGTAAATGTACAATTGTGATGGAGAAAATGTTTAATTCTAGTCCTGCAACTGCTGGCTGCATGCGTAGTGTATCCTGAAGTGGGCATTCGAGTCAATTCTCACAGATGCTCAGTGTCTGCCTTTCCAATGGTTTGACTGGGTACCACTGTAATGCTCTTAAAACACTGCACATGGGATTCACTTGAGCATCTCTACAACTGGATGAAGTGTGGCCAGGGGTATTGTTTGAATTACAGCTTAGCAGGACAAACAAACCAGGCATATCTGAAAGCAAAATGTAAACACGATGCTGGGGCTCCTGGTTAGTGCTTGGTGGCTGCAGGAGGTTGACAGCTGTTACATAAAGGTTAAACATGCATTCTTTGGTCTGTCAGTAAAATTAAGCCTCCTAAAGACTATGTGGCACTCTAGATGACAGGAGTTTATCTGTGTGCATAAACAGAATATACGCTTCAAGATAAATACACTCTCAGGGCTATTTAAAGTATTAGACGTATGCTGCAGTCCAATAAAAAATGCAGGCGGAGCTAACAGAATTTGGAAAGTGCCTGTCTATGTTCAGATGGGCTAGAGATCTGACAAGTGTCTGCAAAGCAAAGCACTGGGGTCTGCGTTGCTAAATAACAGCAGAGGATGAGAAAGAACATGGTGTAGGTACAACGGGGACATGAACTGAAGTAATAAATGCTTGGCCTTTAAATTTCACCTTTCCTAACTTCTCAGACTGCTTCTCCCAAAGACTGACATGCCTGTTGTTTTACGTTATGCTTTTATTTGTCATATTTGTAGTTAGTTACAAGTAAAAATGATTGAAATCCATTGTAGTTAATACAAAATAAAAATATAGCTGCACGAGTTATGCCATGATTTTTCTTACAAACAGTATCTCCTATAGGATACCATACACTCAAGAGCTTAACTCTTAATGGTACTCACCTACACTAAGCTCTTATCAACTAACTTCCAGTGTGATTTACTGGTTACAGATATTACCTCTGTGGAGTAATACCTGTTAACTGTTTCATAATGGTATTTTTGCTGTAGGTTTTATTCTCCCTGTAATTTGTGATTCTAAATACAAGTTGAATGAAGCAACCTTTTAGTGCAATGTTAAGTATCAGTAGAATTTTATATATATATATAAAAAAAATAAAAATAACCCACTGCATAAACAAACAAGGATGTAAGGTAACTGTTGTGGGTATTGTGCTTCCCTTTCCTCCCTTCCCCCTTACCTTTAAGTGACAGGAATGAACATTCATAGTGAACAAACTAACCTGTAACCTCTCATATTCAATTAATTCTGAAAAATTACAGAATTGTAATTTTGAGAGCAGGTAGGTGGCTTTGATGAAAGTTATTAGAGGAGAATCAAATCTTGTGGCTTTGCAGACTTATCCTTATGTAAACTCATCCCTGCCATGAAGTCCAATCTGTAACACCTTGTTCCCTTTAGATGTGCCTAAAAGAGTACTTCACCTTTTTGAAAAGATTGTCCTTACATCCCTGTAATTATCTAACTCTTCTGTGTAGATATAGCTCTATATATGAAATAATTTGTAAAAAGATAAATTATGCTATTTTCAAAATACTCTGAGATATAACGTTGTGCAGGTGCAAAGTTTGATAACATATTGCTATAAAAACTAAGAATTAATTAGTGTTATGCGAGTATATGTTCTTTAAGCTGGGAGTACAGATTTAATATTGTGGGGTTTTATTTTTGCTTTTTTTTTTTAATCTCATACTTTCTTCAGACTGTCTCCAGGTTTCTATTAAATTCCTTCTATTTATTTTTTTTTCAATTTCTGATCCCTTAAAGGTACAGTGACTGATCACACATTCATGCTTGTCATTAATGTACTTTCATAACTCTGGTAGATTGAAAAACATCTTTTTGTTTCCACCTGAACTTAGTCATTTCATCTCAGTGAAGAGAGAGAGACTACTGGCAAAAATCTTTCCCTCCCTGAAATGGATGGAACCAACTTCCCAGCTTCACCCTCTAAGTACTCTGCTCTTTTAGCCTTACAGCATCACGGAGCAAAGCCCCAAACAAACTCTATGTGTCTGCACAGTTACTGAGGCTGTTAGTATTCACAGAGCATAGCTAGGAACTGAAATCAAATGTTCTCATTGGTATTTCTACATTTACATATAAAACTACTCACAGTGCTGAGAAATACTGAGAGAGAACAGAGCAGAAATGTTTGGGTTTTGACTACTCTGTGTACATTCCTCTGACCTAACTCTATGAAAGCCAGCAGACCAGCTTGCTTCTGCTAGACATACTCTTCTCCTGCTAGTCTTATGCCAGCTGACAGCATCGCTAAATTAATAAACACCAGTGACTCGGCCGAAAACAGAGCACGTTGCAGCCTGTCTTCACTCTGCATCCCAACATGATGCAATAAATTACCACTGCAGAGAAAAGGAGGGAAGAAACTGAATAGCTACTACCACCTGTGTAGCAGAAACCAGTTACTCGCCCAAGTCACACCGTAGGTATCTGGGAGGTGGCAGGAGGCTCCGATGGATTACGCCGTTTGGTCTATCTGCAGGACAGCTGCTTGGGTGGTTTCTTCATCAGATTGTTCCGTTTCCCCGCCGACTGGCTTGTTTCTCTCATCATACAGTTTCTGGCTGGAAACTTCTAGAGGCATCCCATACTCTTCGTCGTCTTCAACGATGGACAGCTCGATGTTGTTCATCACGGCGTTCCCTTCCACTCTGCCTTCCTTCTGCAGGGCATCAGCTGCTGCTTTGCCCTCCTGGGTCAGCGAGGTGGTAGGGGTCACGTCTGAGTGCGTGTCGGCGAACGACACCTCGTCCTCGTTCTCAGCCTGCTCGTTGCTTGTAGCTTCTGTTGCTCTGTCCTCGGCGTCAGCAGGGCTTTCTCCTTCACGGGCTTTCTTCACATTGAACGTCAGAGGAGACACTTTGAAACCCGAACTCTTTGAAGAAGAGGATTTCTGATGATGTACAGTAAGGGTTTTCTTGATCTTTTCTCTCCGTTCAGGCGAGACAATCTTTGTGCTGATCTTGTTCATCTTCTTCTCGATGTTTTGCCGAGAAAATGCTTTCTTGAGGCTGTCTACCTTCTTGAGGCTAGATCTCTTAATTTTCTCAGCTCTCGATTCTTCTGTTTTCTCCTCTGCGCTGTCATCCACATCATCATCCTCGTGGAACATTTCATCATCGGAACCCAACTCCACGGTGTGCAAGGTTTCTTCCAGTGTTTTGTTCTCATCCGCGGGCTCCTCTTTTCCTTCTGTAATGCTGGGAATAGGCTCTTTTGCAAAAACACTGGCAGGGATCTCATTTTCCTCCTGAAAGAATTGACAATATTTGAGTTTCATCGTTCACAGGACACAAATTTAATAAACAAAGAGCAATCCTGAACAATTACTTTTCTCTTCCCCCTGTGATGAGATGAAGAATGCTGAACATCTCTTGTTGTTTCAGTATATTTAAGGAGTAACAAGCCACTCAAAGCCCACTGAACCATTAGCTGTTCAAGTTCAAGACTAATGAGCTGTCAGCTGTAAGTTTTCTCTTTCAGAGTGACTTGGAATGTATACAGAATGGAAATCCCATTCTTTGAATTAGATACTCTTTAATAAGAGTTTAGCTGTACAGTTGCATACCTATCCCTGGGGAGAAGGGATGGTATGGTGGCTAAGAGGTTGTACTACAGACCCCACATAGACCTACAAAAGTCACATAACTCCCTAGAGCTTCCAGTTTCTCTAGCCAAAGACTGGAAGTATCTCTGCAGTGATGATGGTTGCATCCGAGAGGTATCTTAGATAGCAAATGCAGTTAGCACTTTCACTGTATTTCAGAAAAAATGTATATCACTGTTAAAAATGGATTGTTGATACCGAGAAGCCATGATGTTTAGAGTATGTGCTATTTTACAGCTATTTACAGAAAAAAAAGTTACTAAATTTGGTTGGTCAATTGGTAAAAACACAGACAGGACAACTCCTTGAAAAAGAAAGTTTATGGCATACAAAAATGAATGGACTTTGTACCACATGGAAAACACTAGAAGTCACTTGTAGCTAAGAGGAATATGAATGTTTTTTAGAAACCAAAAAGGGGCATGGGAAGAAAGAAGGCACCTGGAAACAAACCAGCCTGAACAAGGGCAGAAGCTGCAACTCGTAAGGAAGGGCTTCCGAGCGCAGCAGCTCTGCAACCCCGAGCAGTTCAGAGGCAGCACAAGGAACACTCTGTTCTCTGGTAGGCTTTGCAGGCAGAGAAAACGAGGCTCCTCGCACGCTCCCTTTTGCTTTCAGAATTGTTATGCCTTAGATCTGCATAGTCTCTCGTCTCTCCCCCTCCGTCTCTCTTTCAGAGGAGTGCAATGCAATATCCCTTAGCCGCGTGGACTGGAAGGATTTTCTTCCCACCCCGTATTTATCTTTAGATACAAAAGGCAGTAAGTGCTGTGTGAAATGGTTGTAATAGTCTCAGATCTGTCCCTAGTGAGCCCGAGTGTACAGTTAAGGGGGGAAAAAGGCCACATACACTTCAAAGTTCATGCTCATTATTTCAGGACTGAGCATACAGTTGTGATCACTGGAGAGAAGAGTGTCTTGGGTTAAATTTGCTGTTGAGGCTGTATAAGGACATTGTAACATTTTTAAAAACAAAATAGTCCTGACTACCTTGTAGCACCCCTGGAACTCAGTGAGGATATGCACATGGACAGGCAGAATCATTTTATACCATACATACACAGAATATAATAATATATACTGAGATTCAAGTCTGTTGATGAATAACCCTCAAGGATATAAAAATGAAAAGCATCCAAAAAAAAAAAAAGTTGGCAGTTTGACAACTTGTATGTCCTTCTACAGTTTCTGCACACCTTTCTAGATGAGCAGCCTCAGCCAGCTACACTGGCACAGATGAAGCTTTCCAAGCCCTTTGCTTGCAGTGGAACATCTAATATGTCCACTGTTCTTTTCCCCACACCTACAATGTTGTTGCAACTATGGGCAACAGTAACCAAGATAACAAAATGAAGAAAACCTGCACCAGCTTTAAGTGAAAACACATATTTGTAAGTACAGTACTTTTAAGAGCAGTACAAATATTTCTGTTTTCTTTCCACTGCTGTTAATGAGATCTGGATTACATGAGTAGGTGCAGTCTTACATTACTCCCCAGGGCATGAGAACTCAGTGTAGAGCATAATCTGTGTCTTGTGCATTCTTTCCAAACCTAGGTAATCACATACAGTTTTAAAAAGCTGATCATTCAGGTGTAAGTGACTGAATAGTGCAGAAAACTCTGATTTTAATGAGTAAGGATGGAATGTAACTTTTTAATCTAGAAAAGTGGTGTCATACGAGATGGATTACAGTTTAGCCTGAGCCAGGGATGGGCCTGTGCAGCTCTTCTCAAGGTCAGTTTAGCTCTGTCTCTACAGTATCCATGTTAAACTGAAGTGCTGCATGCAGCCTCCAGAAGAATATAGACATAGATTTTGTTTCAGTTTTTATAAAGTTTGTGAATGAGTAGGGAAACTATCAGATTATCAATATTTATAAAGAAAAAAACCACAAACAAAAATATACTACATAATAATGAGCTAATGATTCAATTAAAAGCAGGTCCTAGGTGGTCTTTGGCTATCAGAGAGTAGTGGCATTAAAGAAATCACCTGTCTAAGCTTCCTGGGTAGCCCTGGAAAACATCAGCCCCTGGGCATCTATTACACTGCTTGTCAAAGGGGAATGACATGCTTTCCTATCTCACATTTCTAAAAGACCTTAGGATCACAGGAACTCCTAAAATGCAAATGAAAACGAAATAAAATGCTTTGGAAGTACAAAGGTGGTATAGTAGGAATACTCTGTGGTGGAACAAACATTCTATTTCAAATAGGTACTGATAACGTTGTAAGTGGGCCAGGGATAACTTTTTTGTCTGACAAGTTTTTATGACAGCTGTATTTTGTTTCAATACATTTTTCAAGCAGTCTGGTAGTTCATTTAGGAAGACTAGAACAATACACTGAAAAACGCAACCGTTACAAACTGCGCAACTATTTTCCATGCCAAAAAAAAAAAGGAGAACTTTGATCTTTTCTTCTTGATCTAATCTAAAATTCTGAGAAAGCAAAACATCTTTTCATTTTCCACACCCGAGTTCAAAACCAGCACTTGTGTTTTCTCAGATGAGCTTAACTGTAGGCTCCTCTGAATTTTACTTTTCTCCATGAGACGAATAAAATAGTGCAAGTTCTGTGTAAAACAGCTCTTGCTAATACTGATAATACCCACAGAGTTAAAATCAGTGCCTTCCCTATGGACTTCATTAGCCATTCTTGGGAACTTTCTGTAGGTCATGGTTGGACTCAATGATCTTGAAGGTCTTTTCCAACCTAAGCGATTCTTTGATTGTATAATCTCATCCCTGTCTTTTACCAGAAAGAAGATCAGATCCATAAGTGTGCTACAAAACTGGACAGCCTGAGTGACCAGGTAGTGAATTTACACAGGAGTGCTGAATCTGTGATGCCACATATGGGAAATCAGTGGGCTTGGGTTTGGATTTTTGTTAGATTTCTTGTAAGGGGCCATGGCCTTCAAGAAGGGGAGCTGGCATTTTCCACACGAGGTATTTTTGTCATTAATCAATGTAAGAGTATTCTCCCTGCAAGGCTCCAGTGTGAAATGTGGCAGCTAGACCTAATAGCATTATTGGCTTGTAATTCTTCTGTTTCCCCTCACTTGTTCATTTGTGAGTTGAAGCTGCTTTTTCAAAAGATTATTACACTGACCCAAACAACAAGATACAACCAACTGACTAATTTCCTGTGCCCTCCTCTTCCTTCATTTCAGGATGAAGCATTTACCAAGAGCAGCATCTGAAAGGGGCTTCAATATCAGTGTGCTTGACCCCAAGCTGTAATTTTGACTTATTTCATCTATCCTATTCACTGGTAAACATGACATTTAATTGAAAAATTAAACATGAGCCTTTTTTTATCTTGCTTTTTGCTTTTGCAGCTAAAAAAGCAAACAAAAACCCCCACCAAACCAGGACCAAAAAGCTGGTCATGTGGCGAGAACAAAACAGAGGGGAACAATGCCAAAGCTTAACGAGGATTTTTAAAACAGTCACTTCAGTGTTTTGCTAAATTGCTGTGTCACTTGTGGCATTTGTAATAACTTCTGCATCCTCAAATACTCGGAATGGAGCTCCATTAAAACATGCCACCAATTAAAGAAATATATGCAAACTAGGAACAATGCAGACAGTCTAGGGAAGGAAAACTAAGAGCATTTTAATGGAAAAATATGTAAATAGCTGAACTTTTCTAAATGCAGTTCATTCTCGCTGTACGCTGAGGGAAAGCTGATGCTGGCGAGCTGAGTTTCATAAAATGCAGAGCTGGAGCTCAGGCCTGTGTTTTGGCTATGCTCAGTGCTCCCTCCGAGTATCAGGGAGTTTGAGGTGTATGGTGAGTGCAGAACTGAATCACAAATGGGTATTTCTATTCTCTTACTGACCTATCTTCTTATGCTGGCAAAGCGACCCTAATGAGAAACATGCAGTGTGAAATTTTGGACTGTGTTTTTTTTTTTTTCCAGTGGAAGAAAAGAATCCCCCAGCTGAAGGGAAGTCTCATATATCCAGATTTCCCTTTTGTTCTTACAGAAATCTGGCGTCAATATGGCTTCATTGCTGTGACTTCTCCTTCCTGCAATTGTTTTTCCATGGATTCCTGCTTGGGGCAGTACAGAACCCAGCTGGCCTTCTGCTCTTGCCCCTCTCCAGAGTTATCCCAGTGAGGCAGTGGTCCTGCTTCCAGGTCATCCCACCTCCACCTGGTGAGGAGACCTTGCAGGGGGACTTTGAGGAGGTGGGCACAGGGGTAGGGCACTTCCCCGGGCCAACAGCTGGCACAGGGGCACAGCCTGGCGAGCACCCACCATCCCTCCGGGTGCGGCTGCTTCCCCAGTGGAAAAATCCCAGCTCCTCCCAGGCTTCACCAGACAAAACCCTGGGTGCTCCCCACCCTGCCTGCCCTCCTACGCCCTGGGAAGCTCTGCTGGCCACCCTGGTTTTCCAGACAGCCACGCTGCCTTTTAGCAATGGGCCAGTGCCAGGAGAAATTCCCAGCTGACAGCTGATTTTTTTTTTTTTTTAACTGAATTTTGTGTGTGTGTTTTTTTTTTTTTTCCTAGGGCTTGTGTTCCTGGTCTGTGTCAGCTTGGAATCTCAGTTCATCTCCTGCCATGACAACGTATTTTCCAGTAAGAGATGGGAACACAGTCAACTAAATCCTTGTAAAAGCAATGAACAGACCTCCTGTCCAAAGGTACCACCCCTGTGACAGGCAGTGGAGAAGCAGCAGATCTTCTTCAGCTGTTGTTCTGGGACATGGACCTGTACTGTTTGTGCACTTTAGGACCCAGTATTAAGGAAGAACTTGGAGGTTTACATAGGCCTTAACTTTGCAAAACTACTTAGTGTCAGGAAACAAGCCAAGCCAGCCCTCCCCTGTTTGGACACTGCTTTACCCTGCCAACCCTTCTTGGTGACTTTTACCACTCCTTTTACCCAGCACCTGCAAATCACTGACACAACAAAGCCGCAACACGGATCCTTAGCTGAGGCAACCAAAACTGCCCCCACACAGCTGTTTTCCACACACTATGTCACCTTAAAATGCTAAAGTTGGGTTCTCTGGAGGAAGATGCTGTCGTTGCAATAGCAAGGCCTTAATTCTCAATTAATTCTCTTAATTAATTGCAGGTAGCAGAAATGCCACAAAATTACCTTCCCGCCAGCCAAGCTGATGCACCCTCCCCATGGGAAATGTTCAAGGTCTAGGTCTGAACCTGGAGGCAGGAGCCAGTCGTTAGCTAACCCTGCCTGGGGGATGGCAATGTTTTGACTTCCAGTAATGAATCTTAAATTACTTTGAGAAGTCCAGAAAAAAATAGGTCTTTTACTTTGCCCACTCCCTGGAATAATTTCCACATTCCTTCTAGGGTGGAAACCGCCACGCTCGGTACATGCCACAGTTCCTACTCTTCTGGCTTGGCAAGCCTGGACAGTAATTTGGAAGAACAATAAGTAGAGAGGTGGGGGCTTCCTTTCTGGGGGAAGCGCCTGCACACTAGCCAGGCCTGCCAGCTTTTACAATCTCTGCTCTGTTGTTTTCTGTTTGTTTAATTAGAAAAATCCTCAACAAGCCAAGGGGTAGAGTTGGCTCTGGACAGATGCAACGTGCAGCCGATGAGTTCAGCCTGAGGAGGAGGTGATGTGCCCAGCCTGTGGTTGCTCCAGCCCCACTCTCCTCTCCTTCCTCCCCCCCATGCCCTGCAGAGGTCTGTCTTGATGTGAAAGACACGTCCTGTGTTTAGCTAAAGCTCACGCCGTGTTCTGTCCAGACCATTGCTTAAAAAGGGGAAAATATGCAAACCGCTGCCATCACTGGATAGAATCCCAGGAAGCTGATTCTTAGCTGAGTTTTTAGCTCATCCCTCCACGGGCCCGAGGAGCAGAGCAGGGTGTGAGGCTGAGTGTGACAGGGAGGCACAGCACTGCCCCAGTCCTGCTTCCTAGAGCGGGTACAAGAGCAGTTTTTAGGAGCATAGTTGACAAAGTGGTCTCTTTTCCCAAGGGTTTGCTAAAATAAAGGGTCTGCTCTTCAAGTTTGCTTAAAAAAAACCCCAAACTCTACAACAAAAGAACTCTTTCCAAAAATTCCCCATATATGCTAAGAGTTAGTAAAAGATGGCCCTTTCCCCAAGTTTGCTGAGACTAAAAGGTGGTTCTTTTCTCAAGTTTGCCAAGAGTTAGCAAAACAAGGTCTCTTTCCTCAGGTTTGCTAAGAGTTAGCAAAAACCAGCGCTTTCTTCAAGCTTGCTAAGAGTAGAAGAGGGGTCCTTCTCCACAGTTTGCTGAAAGTTAGAAAAAAAAGGACTCCCCACATTTGCTGAGTTACCAAAATAATAAAGGGCATTTTCTCCAAGTTTGCCAAGAGTTAGCAAAAAAAAAAAAACACCCCAGCTCTCTCCACAGGCTTGCTAGGAGTTGGTAAAACAGGCTCTGTCCCCAAGTTTGCCAAGAGTAAAAATGATGTTTCTCCTACATTTCATAAGAATAAAAGAGAGCTCTTTCCCCAAGTTTCCGGAGCGAGAAAGAAGGTTTCTCTCCCAACTCTGCCAAGTTAGCCTTTTTTCCAAGTTGGCCAAGAGTTAGTAAAAAGCCATCTCCCTCCCCAGGCTTGCTCAGAACCGAAAGCTCTCTGCCCCACGTCTGCTTAGGAGTTGGCTGCGGTGGGGGCGGGGCTCTCACCTGGAAGATGAGCACCTTGAAGCGGTCCCTGCGGAGGAGCTGGGCGTGGTGCTGCTCCAGGCGCCGGACCTGGT